GGCAAGGTCATTATGGATGGAGACGGGCTGTAAAAACTCACAGAACTGGTCCAGCCTCATCCTGTGGAGGAGACACAGATCTGGGACATGTGGATATTCTCAGCCTTGGAGAGGTAGGCTAAAAAATGGAACCAAGACAGTTCTCAGCTCTTTTCCAGGGCCTGAAGGCTGACCTTTTAAAGACTTCCCCTTCTCTGATTCCAAATCCATGCTCACCAAGCAATCTCTTAACAACAGTTTCAGCTTTGCATGCTTAGGCCCTCCTTGAGCCACCAGCCAGCTTCCTGTCCCTGGCGATCTGGCTAGCCCTGTCAGATGGCAACAGATGGAAAACTAGACACACCGGCTTCTGTGTTTGCAGTGGGGCTGCAAGATTCCTGCTCGTTTGTCCCAACAGCGGGAACCATGACTCCAGGCAGCAGCAGGTGGCCTTTGGGAAGAAACTCAGGGGCCCTTAAGACACTTCAAGGGGGAAGGGGCCCAGAGCCATCTTGAGTCATCCTCAGAAATCCTGCTCATCCCAACAGCACAGACACGGCCTTGTTCATCACAGTGTGGGTGCCGGAGGGATGATACATTGATGGGGACCGACAAGGACATTACCAGCACACCCCAAAGCACTGCACACCAGAGACAAGGAAGGAATCACAGCCTTCAACAAAGGCCGCAACAAGGACAAATCCAAGAACACCAAGAGCAAAAGAGCAAGTTACGGAACAGGACAGCGTCTTTACAGAGCATGAAACCAAACAACAGCGCACGCTGGGCTCCGTAGAGGACTCGCAGCCCAGGGGCAGCAGAAGGCTGCTCCAGAAACAAAGGGAGGGCATAATAAGCACAAAGACCAAATGGTGGTTAACTCTGGGATCGACAGGCGGAGTCCTGGTATTCTTTTTACTATTTTATTACATAGGTGCCCCCTAATTATATGTTTTGTATGTATGAAATATTTCATAATTACAAACCATCCCAAGGCGTGGCAGCGGTCATTACTCAAGCCCCAAGCCCACAGGCTCTGGCGTGCCTCCCAGGTTCCTCTGGGCATGGCTGCAGGGTCACCTGCCCCTGCGGTGGCTGCTCATGGCTTGCACCTCCCGGGGCGCAGGCCTCCAGACCACAGGACTGCCACCCAGCATGCTCAGGTCAAAGGTTAGAAGTGACGTTCTGTCAGCATGCTGAGGCCTTGGTCCTTTGCCCCTTCTGGATTCCCATCGGCCCCTTCCATCTGAACCACTGGCTTTAGCAAGCTGATTCCCACTTCTGCGGGCCTGTCTCCTGGGATGTCGGGGCCTCGAGTTCACCCATCCAGCGCAGCCCCACTACCTTCCTTCTACTCATTCGTCCTCTCAGCAAATATCTGTGGAGCACCAACGACAAAATCCCACAAAACCCTCTGCCCTCATGGAGGCTACATTTGAGTGACGGGAGAGTGACAATAAACACTGAATTAATACCTAGAAATCAAGAAAGAAGGCAAAAACCACAACAGAACAGAAGGATAGGGAGTGAAGGGAATGGCAGGGAGTGGGTTTAGATAAGGTGGTTGGGGAAGGCCTCCCTGAGGAGGTGATCTTGGGACAGAGACATGAGGAAGGGAAGAGGACCACATGGGTATTTGGAGAAGAGCCTTCCTGGATGAGGGAGGTCCAGGGCACGGGCCCTTGCCCCTCTTCTTGCCTTCTCCTCCTGGAAGAGAAGCTGAGGGAAGCTACTAGAGCTTCCCCAACCCACCCCAGCCCAGACCTCAAGCACCCTCCCCCGCTACTCCCTCATCTCCTATTCTAGTTGCAAAGGAGACCCAGGCTTTCAGGGGGAAGGGGACTGGGAGGTTTCCAGGCCCCAGAGGCACCCCCATTTGCACTGACCTTTGCTCTGAGCCTTTAGCCTGTCCCCACTGCTCCTGGTAAGTCAGATTTGCTCTAGGGATTAGCAGGAGTTATACTCTCTGAGCCATCTTCCACTTCTGGGCATCGGCAGGCCTCAGGGCTGGGTTTGGCCTACAGGCTGTGATTTTTCACATCCTTGTCAAACCTGTAATACCAGTGTCTGGAAAAAAGTTGTTGGCTTAATTACTATTATTAGCACCAATGACTTCCTACTCCTGAATTTCCCTGAAGGCCACCTGCAGGTAAACTTACCTGGAAAACAGTCTGGAACTTCTCCACATGCCATCTCTTGAATGCCTCCAGGGCTGTCACAGAAGCTGCCAGAGCAGCCTGGGCGTGGGTGAGGACCAAAACGGTACAGAGGTGAGACTGAGTCCAGGGGCTGCGGGGCCCATCCAGGGCTCTGCGCGGTTCTTTCTCTGGGCAGGTCAGGCTGACAATATTTGGTAGCTTCTGATCCTGAAACCTCTGCCCCAGCGACCCCAGGACTCAAGCAAATGGCCTTGAGTACTCTGTTGGGGTCTGCTATTCCCAGGGTGGTCTGCCGTGAAGATGGACACCTCAGACATCATCACAGATTCTAATTGTTCTGTGAAGTCCTAAAGGAAAATATTTGCAGGCTGATTCCAGACCTTGGAGATCTCCCACCTCATTCATTCACTCTTTCACTCAAGCCGCTATGTTGTGGGTGCAAGGGGGACAGAGATGCAGAATGAGAGCTCACGTTTTTTGTATTCTTATGTGTAGTAAATTTTAAGTGCTTTGCTTGTATTTCTTCACTGACTTCTCAACCAGCTCTGTGGGGGGTAGGTGTTCTACCTGAAGAGCTGTGAGCAGGTGAGGGACGGAGAGGTTAAATGCCACTGGCCAGGCAGCACCCCCTGAGACAGGGTTCAGGCTCCATTCTGCCCTCATGAAGACAGAGGCCTTGTCTTGGAACCTATCAGCTGGTGGGGGCACGGAAGGAACAGCAACGGTCACATCACAGCGTCGTGGCTGAGGCTGAGTGACACTCGTCACTACAGAGCCCTGTCACAGAGGGAGATAGCACTTCTGGGGGGTCCACAGGATCTGTCAGCCGTGGAGCTAGGCTCCTGGGCCTCAGTCTCCAAGAATGCACAGGAATGTCCCTCCTAGGTCAGAGGGGAGAGAACATTCCAGGCAAACATCTAGAAAGACAGATCTCCATGCGAGAGCTGACAGGAGAATATGAGGCTTTTGGGAGGAAGGGGAAATAGTTACTGTGGAGATTCCTTCTCCACTTCCTCCTCTTCCCGCTTGATGGAACCAAAGGGACAAGGTACAAAAGGGTCCCTGCTAAAACTTTAACATATCCCCTTCCTGCAGCTGTCCCCGGCATCTGAGACCCTTCAGGTCAAATTTTGAGGTTGGGGGTGCCTGAAGGTTGTGCTGGTCATGGCCAAAGTTATCTCCTAACCTTCCCTCTTCACATCCAATATCTCATTTCAGCTACCTCATGGTGAACTGCCGTCCACAAGGTCTGTTCTCCCGCAGCTGCTGAGGAGATAAGAGATGGACAAACCTGCGTGAAACTCTTGGAAAGCTGGAGTGAGGCACCTGGAAGGGGCAATGCTGGTGATGACCGTGCTTCCTCACCCTTGGTGTTCCAGAGCTCCATCCTCGAATGCGTGTCCAGAACCCAACATCGTCACCCCAGCGCCAGCTATCACCCTGGTGTATCCACAACCATCCCTCTCCTGAGCTATTGGCGGGATTCTCAGCACAACCGCCACAGTCATAGTCCTAAAATATAGGTCAAGTCCTTCATGGGCCTCCCATTTCACCAGAGTAAACGCCAAGGTCTTTATAATGGCCCACAAGGCCTGCCAAGAACTGAAACTCCTCCTCCTACCTCTGAGCTCTCCTGTGTCACCTCGCCTCCCTCACCACACTCCAACCACTCTGGTCTCTTTGGTCTTATGCTCTCATCACAGGGCCTTTGCATGGCTGTTTCCTCTGCCAAGAATGCTCTTCTCCCAGAGACAGCCTCGTGCTCTCTCTCACCCTCTTTGAGTCCTCATCAAATGTCACTTCCATGAGGTTGTTGCTAACATCCCACTGAACACTGCAACACCTTCCACACCCCTTGCCCCCTGACTCTTCATTCTCTTCATTCGGCTTTCCTCTATTTCTTCAAGTAACCATCTTTACTTTCTAACTTAGTACTTTATTTTGTTTATTTATTCCCCTGACTGGCATGAAAGCTCTACCAAGGCAAACATTTTGTCTGTTCAGTTCCGCACTGTATTGCCAGCATCTAAAGCAGTAGCTAGGACACAGCAGGTAATCCCTACGTAGTTATCAAGTAACTGAAAGAATGCACACCTTGGACACCTGCCCCCAGCTCTCAGTCTGCGGAGCCCACTGGTGACTCCGCATCCCCCTCAGAGGGGCAAGGGAGTGGGCATCTCAGCTGCTAGCAGTCCTTGCCAGACTCAGTGCAACTCGGCAGTCAGTTGGGGAGCCCCCGGGCAGGTGCTGTGCAGGCCTGAGATGGAGGACTCCCCGCCCACCTCATCTGGTTGGGGGCTGAGGCCGCCAGGAGCATGGGGGGCCTGCTCAGGGGGACTGGCCAACCCAGGCTCAGGGGATCTACTTGAAATCTGAGATGGCGGGACAAGCTCAGGCAGGCCTACCGTGCCCCCCCCCCCCCCCCCCCCCCACCCCCCCCCCCCCTCCCCCCCCCC